GTGGGACCTCGGGGCAAGCTGCAGGTGACAGAGGGGACAGCTTACTGCAAACACCGCAGGGAGAACGGCCCAGCCCCAAAACCAGGGTCTGTCACCAGGCGCCTGTCACTCACGGACTCCCCTGGGAAACCGCGCTGCCAACAGCATCTCCTCCCCTTCCCCTCCACCCCGGTACACTTCCCAACAACCACGCCGCTGCTTCACTCAAAGCTGCCTCCCTGCACAGATCAAACTGCCAGATTCCAGCAAATGATTTTTTCTAAGCCAGGTCCGCACAGCTGAGCTCGACGGCAATCGCAGAGTTTCGGAACAGGCCAGCAGCTCCGCTTTCACCGCCTCTATCTCAGAGCTACTGTCCTCTGGTTTCAGGTGTTAAAAAGAAGAACCTTCTCCATAACAGGCTCGAAACGCCACCATTTAGCCAGGCTGTTCACAGGGTTCGAGCCTTACTCCGAACAGGTGCCATGTGCCCAGCAGGCTCTCAAGGAGCTTCACTTTCCAAGCTGAGCTGTGTAAGAACGCTGCTCACAGCTGGGTGAAGCGGCTGTGAAGTCAGAGAATCACAAAGTTCATTTCCAGCATTCACCACGCAGTCTCAGAAGCTTCGTCCGAGGTCAGGATCAGACTCAGGACAGCAAAGACACGCTGGGCCTCTACAAGGCACTGGGGAGGCGACGCCCAGGCTCTGCAGCGCCAGTGTGCTGAGCTGGCAGGAGGGACACAGCCGGAGATCACTCGAAACACCCGGAGAAGAAATATGGCCTGGGCGTCATTCAACCCGGAAAACAACTTTCAGAATTACTTGGAAAATTCCAAACTGCAGAGTGTTTGATGGAGCTGCACGACTTCTTTAAGAACACGAATCCACTCGTGGGGCAAGACCAGGACTCCGCGCTGGCCATTCAGTTTACGGGAAAGTAAAGTTCCCCAAAAGACCAAGGCATATTTTTGTGTAGCTGTACCTGAACGGAGACCAACTGCTGAGTTCCTGCCAGAGCGCACGTCCCTCCCACGTGCGGGTCCTGCTCCTAAGCACCGTGCAGTTAAACCGCGCGCGGGTACGACACAGCCCGTTAAATATCACCATCGCGACTCACCTGCTGCGCCCCGAGAAGCGGCTTCTGGTACCTGCAAGAGAAGACAGGGAGTCAATTCGGCGAGGGCACCGCAGCTGGGGAGCTGCCGCTCAGGGCTGCCTGCCCCCACAAAGGCACCGAGCCTCCAGAACCGCAGACCTGCCACGGCCTCCGCTGCAGCGCCCAGAGCCCCAGCCCTGACAAAACACCCTCTGCCCTCCCAAACCAAAGCGAGCAGTGTTCTGTCCCGCCTGCAGGACGTGCTTTCTGCTGGTTTCGGGGTACAGCGACACAACACACCCCATCTCCTACGACCCGCAGACACAGTCGTTACAGAACGAGCTCGATGGCTCAGACTCTGCCGTTGGAGACCTCGCAAATCAAGCGAGACCTTCAACGAGCGACCTGCGGCCCGCAGGCAGCCTGCACAGCGCCTCCGAGAGCCTCGCCAACGGCCTCGATTCCCCCCTCTGCCCGTGGCCCGAGCACAAGGCCTTCCCGCAGGCCCAGCCCTCGACAGGGGAGGCGGCAGGGCACAGAGGGTTCTGCGCTGGCAGACCGCAGGGCCCCTTCGGAATCACGGTGCCTCGGCCAGACCGCGTCGGGGGGGAAGCCAAAAGCAGGGCGAATTCTTTTCTCCTTTTATCACAGAAGGCCTAAAGCGGCAGAGAGGAGCCCCGAGAGACAACCTGCCTTGTCCTCAGGATTCTCTCTACGCCAGAGCCTTGTTCTGGGTCGCGGGGAGCCAGCCCTGCGCTGGGAAGACACGGGAATTCGCAAACAACGCAGCGGCCCCGGAATGACAACGCTGCGAAGGCGCCGCTTACGCTACCCCCTGCTTTCAGAAGGGCTCTGCTCCATTTGTTTGAGAGGTCACCAGCCAGCAGCTTCCCAAAGGCAGACCCAAACCAGACCGAGCAGGCAGTACCCACCGGAAGGGGACGATTCACTTTCTTGAGATCGCGTAGTTATCGTCGTGACGCGGCTGGTGAATCGCTCTTTGTTTTCTCTCAAAGTTCTGTACAACTGGAGAGGGACAAGGAGATATTTACCTCGTGTATCTTACAGCATCAAGCATCCTGCTTCTGCCCCCTGACAGGGTTTTGTCTCTCCTGCTTGCTCCGAAAAGCCCCCTGCTTTCAGCGGCTCGGACACCTCACTGAAAAGGCGCCCGTACAGGCATTACGTATGCAGAGCTACACCAGGAATGCGCCCAGAAAAGGATCTGCTCTGCGTGTGACGGGATGAATCTCGCTGTCTGGTTGCTCTCCACAAGCAAGTAACCAGCTTTCTGGAGCTGTCTGGCCTCTGGGCTGCAGCCCTGCTTCCAGAGGAACCACACACAGCGGAGGGCACGCACGCGAAACCGC